GGACGGACGGACGGACAGACAATAGAGATGTGATAGATTTTCTAGGAACAGCATAACCACTTTCCTCCTCTTTATCTAATTGTTTAGATAATCTTCAGTTTAGTTAAACATTATTTGTTAGTTCACCTTTGAGTCCTTTTTAATAAGTGTCCAGTAATATTGATATTAATAGCCAGATATTAGTAGCCATTGGTTGTTTTCTCTTTTACTAAAGGAGGCTGAGACACAGTTCCTTAAACTCTTTATGCTCAGCACAGATGGGTTATTTTAGAGAAAGCCCAAAAAGTCAAAATGGCACCTACAAGGATGTGGTTGAAGTTTCACAAATAAGTAATACTTTAATGGTATGAAAACTAGCTATGACTAGGGTGAGTTCACCACTAAACAAGAACTTGATAAGGGCTGGGAACACTCACTACAGAGATAGTATTCAACCAGTTCTGACAGGTTCCGGAGAACCGGTAGTGGAAATTTTGAGTAGTTTGGAGAACTGGCAAATAGGCTGACCCCCACCTCCGCTGCCTCCCAGTCTCCCAGCTGATCTTCTTTTGTTCCCATGATCAGGAGAGCAGAGCTGCAAAGCAGGTTAGTGGTGTGGGGAGAAAATGGGGATTTTGCAGTATCCTTCCTCTGTATCACTCCCACAAAGCCATGCCCACAGAACATTTTTGAATCCCACCGCTGACTCACTGGTCAGGAAATATGGAAGGACTACTGTGGGAGGAGAGCTGAGTGCATGGGATCCCAAACTAGAAGCCCTTCACACTGTAATATTTTGAAACAATCCCAATTTAACATCTGTTTCCTATCATTTTAATTGCAGAGGACAATGGACTTCAAGGTGTCTCCAGTTCTGGCTTTTGTGCATCAAGAATGAAAGGAAACTTGCAGAACTCCTGTTTTAAGATTTCTGAAGAATGGATGGAGAGCCTTTTACTTCCAATTTCTTTTCCCCTGGAAACTTCCCTTCTGAAATTGGCATTACCTTGGAACAGAAAACTACCTTTGCCTTTGTGGTTTTATTGTTTATTTTCCTTGGTGTTCTCATTGTCCGATGTTTTCGAATCCTCTTAGACCCTTACAGGACTACGCCAACTGCCACCTGGACAGATGGGCTGGAGGGGCTAGAAAAAGGACAATTTGATTATGTTTTGGCTTAGAGCCAGAAATGTAGCTTCTTAGAACCATTTCTTGTTCTCACACAGGCAAAATAAGCTAAAATTTGATGAATAGATGGGAAACATAACGAGTATTTGATGAAAAAAAATGCCTGGGTGTATCATGGCTGGATATTGCCCAGCTGAAATAGGATGACAGACATACATTCTGGTTTGTTTTTGTGTCAAACTATTTGATTTATAAGAACTTCAATTCATATCAGTGCCATGTAAGACTTAAATCCTATTCCCAAAATATGCGACTTATCTGGTGGCATGATTTACTTTGAGACAATAGCAATAGCAATAGCAGTTAGACTTATATACCGCTTCATAGGGCTTTCAGCCCTCTCTAAGCGGTTTACAGAGTCAGCATATTTCCCCCAACAACAGTCTGGGTCCTCATTTTACCCACCTCGGAAGGATGGAAGGCTGAGTCAACCCTGAGCCGATGAGATTTGAACAGCCGAACTGCAGTCAGCTGAAGTAGCCTGCAGTGCTGCATTTAACCACTGCGCCACCTCGGTTCATCTAACCTGAAATCTATCTATTGGCTGATTTCAGAGTCTAATCAGCCTTGCCTGATCATACAAATGAAGCAGGGTTAACTTCCATGACTCCGTGGCAGTCCAAACCTCATTGCTAGACTGGATAATTGTGGGGGAGGGCGACATATCCCAGAAGAAGCCAAGGTAGTTTTTGAGTTATGACCACAATTGAACACAAAATTTATGTTGCTAAGTGAAATGTTTGCTAAGTGAGTTTTGCCCCATTTTACGACCTTTCTTGCCACATTTGTTAAGTGAATCATTGCACTTATTACGTTACTAACATGGTTGCTAAGTGAATCTGCTTCCCCATTGACTTTGCTTGTCAGAAGGTTGAAAAAGGTGATTACATGACCCCGGGACATGGCAACCATCATAAATATGAACCAGTTGCCAAACATCTGAATTTTGATCATGTGATCATGGGAATGCTGCAATGGTGG